GGGGGGGGCGGGGTACACGTATGGAATGTTTACCACTAGAGTGCAGACAACATATCAGTATCAGCGAAAATACTTTGTAAGAAATTGCACAAATTTGCACGAATTAGTACGTTCAGTAGACCTTAGTAGACCATAGTTAACTCGCAAAACTTTGCACTAACTAGTACAATTTTGCTATTTAACTATTTATGGCATGCACTCTAGTTCGTTTATAATTATTAACTAATATACACGCAGCCCGCATAGTGGACGCGTAAATAGCTGATGAAGCCAAAGGCCGAATGTCATTCCCTACAGTATTATATCTTTGTTTAAAGTGCCTCCTAATAAAGACATCGGCCCCTCCTTTGGCCGCTCCGATCACAGGCAGCCCAACAAAAGCGGAGCGGTCAAAGAGTGGCCAGCGTCTGGATCATAACAGTTGCGCATGAGAAGACACATGAAAATGGATACGACTCAAACAAAGAATCTTATTCTCAAGAGAATAACACGTGGTCTCAAATCGGAAAACATTACGTCCAAGGTAAAGAGGTCAAGAGTTCTCTACTAGTGGGACTTCAATAATTAAAAGAGTCCCCTAGTTTGTCTGACAATTATGTTTGAGGCATCTATAATACTATTTTTATCATTCAATCATTACCTCATCTTCATACCAAGGAACCTCTCTCTCTACCTCTAGTCTAATATCCATTACTCTTCTTGCATCCTGCTCTGGCATTCTCTGCGCTGGCTGCCCTCGTACACCTCGTGGGTCTTCAACCCCTCTTTGTTCTTGTACCCCTCTAAGTCCCTGTGACGCTAAACTCTCGGCATGTTCTCGTTCTCGTTCCTCTGGTTCCTGTATAAAAGGTGGTGCTGGTGGCAAGACATGTGTCCTTGGGATCTCGTGGTTTGTCACTTCCCTAGGGGGTGGGGGTCGGTAAGGGGCTTGATCAGTTTCACGTGGGGGATGTTGAAAGTTTGGCTGAGAGTGGACTGGTTGTTGTGCAGGATGCGGTAGTTTCCTGTCAGTTGGTGGTGGTTCTGCATGTGAGGAGGTGGTTGGCATTTTACTGCGCTGCTCCCTAGAAAATAATGATACATGTTTATACAGGAATTATGATGAAGTACACACGCATCACTCACAAGGGTGTGAGAGTTCTTTCTCTTACAGCGCTTCTCAATCACACGCGCGAATTCGTGAAAACCTTTTTCGAGACAATAGAGTTTTGGTGGACGCCAATCAAAGTGTTTACCAGCATTGTCGGAAAACACCAAGCTTTTAAGGGCAGGTGCCTTTGGAATGTCATGGAAACGCATTGATTGACGTCCACCAAAACCGCATTTCACCAGTTAGATTGAGAAGCGTTGTAAATCCCTTGCACAGGCTCGATTTGTGCAACTTTATTTTTATTGACTTGTGCTACTTAGCAAGAGGAGAGAAGGAAGTGCGTGGCTGACTCAAAGTGAGGAGTAAACTTTTATAACAAACACTGTTATTTTTAGCAAAGATAGCATAGTGATTATTATGATGGTGGTGGGCTAATAACCTCTTCCACCACCCTCTTTAACATCCAGTGTGCTTTGACTCATAGTGCACCTAACCCCCGATAAATTACTTTCAGTATCGATTCTACATAAAGTTGAATGGTGAAATATTTCCTTAACATTCAAATGAAGAATAAATATTTCACCACTTTAACTACTCACTTCATGTAGAATCAATCAATACTGAAAGTATTGTATCAGGGGTTAGCGGGTGCACTTAAAAATAAACATGCACAATGCTCAAGCAACGTGGTGGTCTTTTATCTACCTTTGTTCGTGTTGATGACATTGATGTCTGGACATGATTGGTGATGACTGGTTGGCATCCTGCTGTTGATGTTGTTGTTGTCTTCTACTGGCCAGGTATTGTGCTGCTCTATCTCGCACGTCTTTGGGATATGGAGAACTAAACCGTGCTAGCCGCGCCTGCGATGCATTAACAAAGAATATTTTCCTCTCAATTCTAAACCTGGAAATTTTTCTCCGGCTGTAACAAGTTTGTTGTTATTTCATGACTGTGATCAGGGAAAATGTAAAGAAATTTAAACATTTCCGCGCTATTTTCGCTTTTTTAATAAAACAGCCTAAAAACATGGTCAGTGTTGACACCGTTTTCCCGCGCATATTTTTGTCAGCGACACGCTTTCCCGCGCTTTCCCCCCGCCACTGAAACTAACAAAGCTGACAATCTTTGTCATTCCAATTAGTTTTACCGCGCTTTTCTATAACCGACGCGTTTTCCCGCGCTTTCACCCCAGCCATTAAGATGGTAACAGAATTATTTAAAGTAGTTTTCTCGAACTTTTCTATCATAGACACGCCAATGAAACGCTAAATACCATCCCTGACATTCAAAGTATTTTCTACGCGCTTTTCCAATTTCATCTTCAATGGCCATGATCACAGTTCTTTCTCATCAAGAAGACGTTACTCACCAAATAATCATTCTCATCAATGTCGAACACGATAGATGATCGCTGTGGTGGCGGACCCGTATCTAGGTTGACTGCCAGTAGATTATCGTTCTCTTGATCTTCATGAATTTCGACAGAATCTGAGAGAAAAAAAAATTATTTCATACTATGTAATTGGTAACTGTTTGGTTTCTCATTTTGTATAATCTTTCTATTTCTTTTGCCTTGGAGTTTGGTGTGGGCGCGCAGCATAATTGGTGCCAAAGTTCTTGCCAAAACCACAGGAATCCCAATAATAATAGCTATGGAGAAAAATATTTAGTCCTAAAAGGCTTTTTAGTTATATAGAATTTCTCAAGCACAAATGAATTCACATGTAGTTCATCCGAGCAATGAACAAGAAATCCTTGAAACTATACAGATGAGAAGAGACAGAGCCGTAACAGCGCAATTATCCCAACTGTGCTTCTTGACACGGAAGGCATTTGACTCAAACGTTCCCCTATCCTTGACTGATATTTACTTTGTTTTACTTACTCATTGATACATTATCATCCTCTTCTTCATCCTCAGAGAACGGTTCTTGTGGGAACATATAACACGTTAAAACATGTGTCCCTAGTGTCGTGTTGAACTCAGACTGCAGAGGAACCATTGCCTTTGACTATTCATAAAAAGGCAAAAACAACTGTGACTATTTTGGGATACAAACTTAGAAATATTTTCTCGGAAGGAGAGAGAATCTCATCCAGTTCATAAGACAGCAAAAGGAGAACTTTGAATTAAAGAAACATAATCTTTTTTGGGTGTTGGGAGGAATAACATTTCTGCAGGTAACAATCTAAGTGACCTCCACCTAAGACATTCACTGCCTCCCACTGTTTGGCTGTACTCTCTTTTCAACTTTTCAAAGAGGCTAAGGCTTAAGTCAAACGTTGATCTTCACATGAACCAAACCTAATTGAAACAATGGATAACAAGGCGGTCTTCTTTCAAGTTATTAGGTTCGACTCAATGAAATTCCACGTTTGACATGAGCCTCACCATATCATTTTCTGGGTCCATATCACCCACCTTATTTTTACAAAACAATAATTTAACCCTCCCCCCATATAAGGAAGAATGGTCAGTTATGTCTGGTCTAGAGTCTAGTAAAGCTACTGAGCAACCAACCTGATTTTCAGACAACCATAATGCCTTAAGGTTAGCCAGCTTATAGAAGGTGTAAGGAAGGTACTTCAGTCTGAAAAATCACAATATATCAAAAAAATATAAAAATAAATAAAAATGAAAAATAAATAACTTTATTTAAGTGTTGATGTATTTAGTTTACACAACTAATTGGGGACACTGAAATGAAACTGAAATGAAGAAATAATCAAAGAAATATAAAGTGTTTTACAAATATATATGTTCAAGCTAATTCTCAGCGATGTGGTTGGGAAGTGAATTCTTGAGGAAAATATTTTGACATAATCATTCATGATAGTGCATCAAAATCCTACTTTTTTACTAAAATGATTTTTACTAAACATTTTGATGTTATTGAGTTCATAGGAGCGAGAGAAGTTTTCTATAGCTGGCATCACCTGTTGCATGCCAAGTTGATAACTTGTAGGCTAGGCATTCTACCAATATCATCAGGAACATAAACAAGTCTGTTGTCTCTCAAGGAGAGAATTGTCATAGATGTACAGCTACCCAACTGTAAAGATGATAAAAGACTGTTAGGGAGAAAAAGATTGGGGGGGGGGGGGTGGGAAGGGGATTTAATCAGATCAGATTCCTAACCAGGGCCCAGTTGAAGGGTGGATAGCACTATCTGATGGACAAATCTTATCCAGTGGATAAAAACAATGACTTATGCACTGGATAAGAATTTATCTGGGCCTGGTTGTATGAAGCCTGGATAGTGCTATCTAATGGATAAATCTTATCCAGTGGATAAATTTATTGGATAACATCATCCACTTATCCACTGGAAAAGGATTTATCTGGGCCTGGTTGTACGAAGCCTGGATAGCGCTATCCAATGGGTAAATCTTATCCAGTGGATTAATTTATTGGATAACAGCATCAACTTATCCACTGGATAAGGATTTATCTGCAGGATCGATAGCACTATCCACCCTTTGTAGAACTGGGCCCAGACAGCACTATCTACCCCTTCAGATGGATGGTGAACAGAAATAAGAAATGAAATTAACAGAAAAATGAAAGGAAATGGGTGGTATAAATGAACAGAAGAACAGAGAAATGAATGAAAAGTATAGAGATGGAAGAGTACAGTACAAAGATCTAATGATTAAAAGGGAATTGAATTGAAAGAAAAATAGGCAAAAGAAACTCAAGGAAGTAAAGCAGGAAGCATCAACAACATGGATAAAACAAAGGATGAATGAATAGACAAGGAAATAAGTACTATAGAAATAGCAGAAAATATGTAAGAAATAGAAAGTTATAGGAAATTATGGGAAGAAATAGAAGTGATTAAAAAATGACAATTTGTTTTCACTTACTTCTGATGGAATTGATTCCAAAAAATTTTCATCTGCATTCAGCACTCTTAATTTTCTTAGATACCCTATTGTTGGTGGAAGATCCTGAAAATAGACAAGGAATGTTGTTGCAGCATAATAACATAAAAAAAGGCAAAATACCCATATTTAACATTGGTAGTTCCTTCAGTTGAAATTCAACTGCTATCAATGGAAGCCGMCAGTGTGCACTTTACCCCCTCTCTCCATYGATGCTCTGTTTTAAGAGTATTTAAAGCTGAAGCTACAGGGATTAGAGAGAGTCGAATCAGACGTGGAGATCCTAAGGATTGAACCGTGGACCTCAAGCTCTGAAGGTCGCGCACTAATCAACTGAGCTATGGCTGCACCTGTAACATAACATTACTAGTTCTGAATTCTGACCTCTATTAACTGCTAACTAGAAATCTATAAGGCAATCCAACAAAGCAAAGTGACAAAACCTATTGTTTAAATAGTTGGCACATATATGATTCCACAATTCCAATAATTTCAAACATTATGTCCACCTATATGATGGTTATCTCTTATTTATAAACTTATCAGTTGACTACTAAAATATACTCACCACAAGTTCATTGCATGTCAGTACCAGTTCTTCTAAGTTTTTTAATCTGCAAAGAAAGAATGAGTAAAGTAAGGTAAGTTAGTCTGTAATCAATGAATACAGACATAATTTGGAACTCGAAAATGGTCTATTGTGGTTGGAGCAACATTGAAAAAGGGTTAGGGGTTGTGGCACACCTTCAAACAACTTTTGGTGACATTCCCGTAAAGGAATGTTCCTTAAGTTGGGAGGTCGAGGGGATGGTTGGTGTGAGATTTTTGGAACTAAAGATTAAGCTTATTAAATACATTTCTATATCATGATTAGGTTGCTATCAAACTTACTTTCCAATAGAATTTGGTAGGTCACCTAAATGATTCTCATCAAGCTTAATAGTCTGCAGTTTACCAAGACCACCTATTTGTTCTGGCAATTCAATAAGTAGGTTATTGGAGAGGTACAGGTCAGTTAATGATTGAAGTGACTCTATTTCTGGTGGAAGCCACTCCAGCCTGTTCTTGGATACATCAAGAAACATCAGCTGTCTTAGAAGTCCTATTTCCTGTAGATAAAAGCAAAAAATAGTTGTTATGGTAATAATTGTCATTACCATTGTAATTATACAGCTTCTCATTATTCCCATATAGGTAACTGTCCAATTATTTTCTTAATTGGACAGGTCTCGTTGATATGGGATTAATTAGGCAGCTATATAATTAATAGGTAATGGGATTTCATGCTCCCCAATCAAGAAAYAATTAGACTCRAAAAATTCCTCTGACTGCCAAATTGGACTCGGCCTACGGCCTCATCCAATTTTGTCAGTCCTCGGAATTTTCCTCGTCCAATTATTTCTTAATTGGACAACATGGAGTCCTATTACATATACTAAACCTTTATTCTATTTCCTTAATTACATACAGTCCCCTTATTTTGGAAGGTACCAAATGATAATAATCTCATTCAATAGGCAGGTACCTAGTTGTTTATTGTCCTAAAATGTCTTAATAATTCTATTAAACCAGTTACTAGATTCCTTATAGGGTATGCAAATGCCTTTTTTGGTATGAAATACCTTATATAGCAGATATGTTTCTAACTATTAGGCATAATAGTCCTTATATGGTAGTTGCAATATTTGGTATGCAGTTTAAATATTTTGCATAATTATAATTTCTTATTAGTATGCTTTAGTGTCCATATGTACTATATAGTTTCTTTATTTGGTACTTACGGGTCTGAGTTCTTTAATACAGTTAGAGTCCATCCAAAGCTCTTTGAGGCTCCGCAGACAGCCCACAACAACTGGCTAAAGATTAGAAACATAAAAGAATCTAATTTATCCATCACGGCCTGGTTGTGCGAGAAGATGGATAGCACTATTCGACGATAAGTCTTTTTAGTGGATAAATCTATTGGATAACAGCATCATCTTATCCACAGGATAAGGATTTATCTATTGGATAGCCCTGTCTACCTTTTGTAAAAACGGGCCCAGAGGTCTAGGTGAAGCTAGCTTACAATCATGCAACACTTAAATGTTAATGGGTATCAATCAAATTTTTGAAAAGGGAGGGACACTTTGCATAAATACAATAGCTTGTTATTCTTCACTGCACCTGAAAACTATTGTTTTATGCAAAGTATTGCTCACACTTGATGCAAAGTATTGCTCACACTTGATGCAAATGAAACAAATCAAAATGCTTTATGTGTCATAAGAAACCAGTGAATAAATCATGTTCGATCAGTCAAGGGTAGAACGTGTGATTCATTTTATTCAACATGCACACATAAATAAAATATCAAAAAGAAAAGGAAAGAAAGCAAATATCATGCACAGAATAAAACTCTGATGCCAACTATTGGACTAATCACGGAAGACTGATAGGTTCCTTCTCCGCCAATCAGAATACTGGAAACCAACAAGGGAATTGTATGGAAAGTATTATCTCAGTTGAGCCAATCACAGCTATGGGTTTCTGCTCAACCAATCAGAATGCTCAGACAAAGCACCAAGAAACTACGGTCATATATTCTTTTTTCAGTCACATACAAACTTATTCCAATCAAGTTAACCACCTGAATAGCTACCAAAAGCTGAGACAAGGCTGTATTTAACCAGGAATATGGGTGAATACATTCTGATGTTTTGAACACTTGAAATTTGAAATATTGATGGATTTGAGCTAGAACTTTTTACTAGTTATGGTTTCACCCTGTGAGCAACCTTAAGCTACAGTTTGATATGTAGATATTTCCTATGATCCTTCAACAGCGGTCTCAGATTTAAAGTTTTTTAAAGACTAACTTGATTGAAATAAGTATATTTAAACATCGTTCACAAGTTAGTGATCAAGGCAGATGGAACTTACCACTTCAACGAATTCATTGCTGGCTATGTCAAGTCTTTCCAGCTTAGACAAATGGGACATTGATCTGTAAACAGAATGAGGAAATCATTAGTCACAACTTAGTGAAGCTGTTGAGGGATTTTTCTGTGAACATCAAAAAAAATCTTACTTTGGAAGGACTCTTAAATGATTATCTCGTAATTCCAGAATTTTTAAGTTTTCAAGTCTGAAAGAAAGAAAATCACAAACGCATATATTATACTTTTGAAAAATTTAATAAAAGCAGCTCAGAACATCAGTGAAGAAATAGAAAACCACTCACATGCCGTATGATATTTTATTATTATTATGCAATGTCAGTATGTATGGGTTGGCAGAGTGAGAGAGAAGCATGGCATGACAAAAAAGAAACTATGGTTTTCATGAACTTCAATCATTTATGAAACATGATGTTTTGACTGTAGCTGTGGCAGTCTTCTTAAGAATGATCTTGACAAAAAAAAACTGTAAGCTGTAGCAGACTGCTTCCTAATACCTCTTGACTGTCTTGCCATTCTCCATGTGCTTACAGTGCAATTATTTTAACCGGGGCCACATAGAGAGCAAGAACCAATCAATCCTTTATAAATTATTATATAGTTTACATAGAATGCACAGCATGATTGGTCAAGAACTGTGCTTTATTAGTTAACAGAGCACACTGAAATTATTATATAGTTTACATAGGATGCACAGCATGATTGGTCAAGAACTGTGCTTTATTAGTTAACAGAGTACACTGCTGATGCCAACCTTGTGTGCACCTCCAACTTTGCAAAGAAACAACGAATGTAAAAAAACATCATTGAAAATCACAACAGATTTTTTACTTTGTAAGTAATAAAACAGCTTTTTTTCGGTGGTCTGTTGTTGCTCTGATGTTGCTTCTTGTGTGCTTTATTACTGAACAGAGCACAGAAAAAGCTGTTTTGTTTGTCACTTTCTGATTTGTTGAGAGCGCATGCTGCATTCCTAACATAAATAATGGTTATTGTAACATTTGTATTTGATAAAAGAAATTTAAAAAATTCATAAATAACATTACTTGGGGATTGACAGAACACTTGACAAGTGTTTAGAAGCACTCCGCGCGTCATGCTTCTTCTAACACTTCTCTAGTGTTCTGCCAACCCTTGGATGCTTTACAACTGCACACAGCATGAGTGTGCATTTTCTATTTCTTCAATATACCTTCCAAAGCTTGCTGGCAAGAAGTCAATAAAAGCATCATTGAGATAAAGGCTTGTTAGGCTTGTCAGGTAACCAAGGCTTTCAGGAAGTCTATGAAAATACAGAAAAAAACAATTGTAGATCATTTATACCAGTCCCTTTTAGATTAATATAAATTACTTTGCTGTGCATTAATAATAATTAAACWCCTGCGGCAGCCATACATGGTTCTCCAGGGTCTATGTTCAAAGCATATGGTTTGACACCAACGGAACCCCAAGAGCAGATCCATGTAGGTGGATTGGGTGACTGGTGAACCGTTATTGAGTTAAAAAATGATAAAAATAAAGAATAAGGTACTGTAAAACCTAAAAAGGATGCAATGTAATGCCTTTCTAGGTAACAATGACCCCTTGGACCCTCAAACTTGATTCATCCTGTGCCGATAGCACAGACCTTATTTCCTGTGTCCTTTGCTTCCTTATAATAACATTATTCTGACTACTTGTACTTAATGTACTCTACTACTAGTAACAGCAAAGTAGAATTCTTATCAACCAGAATGCAAACACATATTTGTGAAACAGTAACATAATTAGCACTCATTTGTATTAACTAGCACTGATGAACCAATAGAAAAACAATAGACATACTAATTCATACTATATAGGATAGTGCTGAATAAACTTAGTACTGTTTCACAGATGAATACTCCATCAAAGTGTTGTTGAATTCTAAAATACTCTAAATCTACTGTTCTTTCTCTTCTGAAGAGGTCATTCTCTTGAGTATTTTTTTTTCTGGCCAGAAAACAGTGATAAAAAACAATGATGAAACTTAAATGAATGAATCTTATTTTCAAGGGAATGATACATGGTCTGATATTGGAAAGCATAATGGATTGCATCTCATAGACCAGATATTCAGCAACAACCAACGATTCAAATGAGATGTAATAATATAACCTCTGCTTGGACTCTACAAGACAGCACATATGATATAAGTGATCCATCTATTTTTTTTAAACCTAATTATAAAAAATGTTGATCCTATAAATAGATAATGCGCGCTTTAGATATAAAACAAACTTATAGCTGAACTATTATGATATTCCAGGAATTCTACTTCATCATAAGCAATCACTTTACTAATCTCATTTCATACAAATATTTTTTAAAGCGTAATTTGGAGCTTTCTATTACTACTTTGGATCAAAATTGTTTAATTCAAAGATTCAAACTTTAAAACCCTGAATAATTGAAAAGACAAAACAATCGCTGGTAAGAAACAAATTCCAATTTTAATTTTTGAAAAAGCAAACCAATTTCCGCTAGCTAATTGTATAATTTCAGACGATAATAATTATCGTAAACAAAATAAATTCAAACAAAGACAATTCTACTAAATAAACTCAAGGCATTTTCACTAAAAATACCATAAAAATGCTGCTTTGTTATTAAATATTAAGAGCATTATTTCCTGGAAGGATTTTTCATTTTCTAGAAGTTTTTGAGTCATATAAGAATTAATGAAAACAAAGCGTCTGTTTATAACTTGTTATGCTTAATATTGACGTTGGTTTTCGCACTAATATTTGAATCCAATCACAGGAAATTCCAAATACTTGGTAAATCAGGATAATAAAAAAGAATGTCTTGAGATATACTGTAGAAAATACATACAGAGAATATTAAAAACGGCGTGTGAACATTAAACTTATAAAACTGAAAGACCACTAAAAATTGCTATATTGTAATACACAAATTTAAAGCTTTATTGCTTTTAATTAGGAAAATGAATGATATGGAATTATACCCGTCCTTGATACCTGTTATATTTAAATAAAAAAGATAAGGAAAAAAAATGGAATGCTTTATTTATGACAACAGAAAAAAAATACTACTCATATTCACAAGCTTACTCACTTGCCAATCGGGTTAACGCTAGCCTCTATTTCCTCTAGATTTTTACAGTTCTTGATATTTTCTGGTAGGTCTATTATTCCTGCGTAAAGAATGAGATAAATAGAGTATTTGAATAGAGAAGAGCGTACAAATGATGCTTTTTTGGGACAGTTGACGTGACAATGTCAGAGCAGGAGAACCTTACCATTTTTACTGACGTTTATTTCGCGAAGATTTGTTAAATTCGCAATGGCAGAAGGGATGATCGTAAGTTCATTATCACTTAAGCTGAGGATTCTTAGGTGCTGTAAATTAAATAAAGCCTGTAAAGAGAACAAATAGCAGACAATTACAAACCAGCTGAGTTGAAGAACCAAACATACAACGATACTCCAAGATGACAGCGAACGATCGATAACATCTTTGCACAGTTGTCTCTCCAGTTTGGCGATAAAATCCATTAAACTTACCCTTGGAAGGTCTCTGAGCTGGTTGGCATCTAAATAAACCTCTTCTAAGTTCTTCCCCTCTCTACTTTTGAAGATTTCTGAAGGGACGTTGGTCAAACTGCAGTGACTTAGTTCGAGGACTGCCATAGTGATGGCCGACTGGTCAAGCAGATCAGCGGTAAAACAACTCGACGTGAACCATCGCGGCATTCTCTTACAAAACTGTCAGTCAAAAATCCTAAAGCAATATCTCATCCATGGGATTGGCGCTTCCTGAGCTGACCCGAACAGCTTAACCCGTGTCACAAACGCTAAAATACACGGTAAAACATACTTATCAAAGCTGCAATTCTTCAGAACACATTCTAGAACTTCCAACTTGTTTCTAACGACGCTTCCGAAAATTCCGACGAAAGAATTTTACCCTTAAGAATTTTAAAAATCCTTGGAATTGTGGTTCAAATTTCACATGAAGGATATTTTTTAGTCCATATATCTGTGTGCTTTTTACAAATGATTGAATTTATCCAGAATTGAATAAAACCCGTCTGAAATCTTTGCACAATTAAAATACACTAAATTGGGTTCTATTGTCTATCACTGTCAATCAGCCAATGAGCGTGGAGATACGAAGGTACATACGTGCAGACAAGTGACGTAATTTCATTTATTTTTATTTTGGGCAGTAAATGAAGTAATAAAAGAATAGAATTATGGGAAATCACACACACACACACACACACACACAAAACCGTTTATACTGATAACGTCGTGATTTTACTAACACCAGGAAAAACCCGTTGTTTTTAAAGATTTTGATCAATTTCCATTTTACATGTAAATCGTCCTATAAAATAACTGACGCTTTAATTGTTTATTTATTAAAATCTATCCCTGCAACCATGACTCTTGGCTATAAAATATGTACAAGTTTTTGAGCTTGCACAACCCATTTTCTGATCAATAGGTACACAGAGATGTCGTCCATTTTATTTTCAAAACCAATTTTATTACTGGGTTGCCTGGCAGCCCAGTCTAAAGATGCACTGCGTATCTTCGTATAAGACCTCTGGGCACTAYTGCGCAATTTCTGCACTTTCTGACAAGTAAATAAACATCCACCAAAGTAAATGATATAATAACAAAGGATGGTAAAAAGATAGGAAAATTAATTGGTGATTCTGACTGAGAACATTGGGATATTTGATTTTGTCATTGCGTCATCGGCGCAAGTTTAAATTAACAAGTGGTGTGACTATAATGCAAGACTGTTTATTTTATAGCCTGAAAAGGGCAAAACCTACGAGTATTTTAATGATTGTGCAGAGAGCGCCTTAAGGGAGAAGATCGCCTAATACGAGTTAAACGAAATCATTCTTTTCGGTGAAACATTCCATTAGCTTTGGGCTAAGATTGCAAACTTCTTCAGCCGTACTAAGCCTCTGTGCGTGATACAGGCAACCCAGTAAAAGTCTATAAGGCGTCTGGTTTTTATAAATTTCATTTCACAAGGCTAATTTTAGCAATTGCTTGATGATTTACGCAAAGGAAAAAATGGGGGTATCCAGGCGTTTGAAAGACAGACTAGAAATGCCTTTGAAATTCATATAGCTTATAGGTAAAAGATTGACTTTCAGGTTATAAAAAAAGAAAAAAAAAATTCAAAACAGTTTTAGTTCACGATATTATTCCGTGTTTAGCAGTTTTTTCTAAACTGCTTAGATCCTTGGATCTACCTTATTGGGCTACCTGTCGTTAGATATTTTCATTATCCTATAAGTTAATGACGTCACAATCACTGCTGTAATTAATTCGCGCTAATTCGACAATTAGATTAAATCAAACCTTGGTCCTAAGGTACGTAGTCAAGAATCACAACCAATTGCTTTGCGCAAGATAGTTTGTTCAAAAACCATGGCATTTTTTGGAATTTCTCGAGTTCGATTGTCAGCGGCTGTTGGTGTTGGTGTCAGCGCAGCCGCACTTGCCGTCATCTTTGCAAGGAGAAGTGAAGTGGACGCGCGCACAGGAATCAAGCTCGCGTACGAGAAGTTTTCATCGATGGCTGATTACCCAGACTTGCGACACCACAACAACGTAATGGCGAAGCATCTTACGCCTCGAGTGTACTCGAAACTGCGGGACAAGTCCACAGCTTCGGGATTCACCCTTGATCAGGCCATCCAAACTGGGGTGGATAACCCGGGCCATCCTTTCATCTCGACCGTGGGTATTGTGGCTGGTGATGAGGAATCCTACGACACATTCGCTGATCTATTTGATCCCATCATCGAGGAGAGACATGGTGGATTTAAGAAGAGCGACAAACACAAGACTGACTTGAACCCAAACAAGATAAAAGGAGGAAAGTTCGACGAAAAGTATGTTCTCTCATCACGTGTACGCACTGGCCGTTCCATCCGTGGGTTCAGTCTTCCACCTCATTGTACACGCGCAGAACGACGAGAGGTAGAGAAGGTTGTCAGTGATGCATTAGACGGGCTTGCAGGTAAATCTTAATCGCAGTCTTAATTTCTTTGAATAATTACAAACGATTTTGAAGAATGAAATTATGAATTTAGTTGGTCTTATATTTCGATCCACGCCTTCGAAAAAGTTGATGCGATGAAAATAATTTTCCATCGATTTTATCAATAGAGGCTTTGGTTGACCCACTTAGGTATTATTTTTGCAAATAATATAAATAAATACATTGATTTTCTTGTTGTCGGTTCTTAGGCGACCTAACCGGCCGTTATTACCCGCTGAACGGTATGACCGAACAAGAACAACAACAACTTATTGACGACCATTTCCTCTTTGACAAACCCGTCTCGCCGCTCCTCACCTGTGCGGGCATGGCGCGGGACTGGCCCGATGCCCGCGGGATCTGGCATAACAATAACAAGAACTTCCTTGTATGGGTGAACGAGGAAGATCACACGAGACTCATTTCTATGCAAAAGGGCGGAGACATGCGCTCGGTGTTCGAGAGGTTCTGCCGCGGTCTGAATGAAGTCGAACGCTTGATCAAGCAAAAGAACTACGAATACATGTGGAACCAACACCTGGGGTATATCCTGACTTGCCCCAGTAACCTCGGTACAGGGCTGAGGGCTGGTGTTCATGTCAAACTACCAAACCTCGCCAAGGTAAATAATTTCAGAAATTAGTATTGAAATTGAGCCGCAATACGTCACAAAGCGTGGACAATCCGCGGAAACTAAATTATCCATGATTTGACATAAATGTTTGCCTCTTTTACGATAAATAAAGACCCCTCATTCATTCAATTATTCATTTATATTTGAAGGAAAAACGTCTGGATATAATTCTGGATAAACTGCGGCTTCAGAAGAGAGGAACAGGAGGAGTAGACACTGCAGCTGTTGGCGGAACCTATGACATCTCAAATTCCGATCGTCTTGGTTTCTCTGAGGTCGAGTTGGTCCAAAAAGTAATCGATGGCGTGTCACTGTTGATCGACATGGAAAAACGATTGGAGAAAGGAAAAAGTATCGAGGATCTTATTCCAAAGTAGATGGAAAGTTCTTCAGCATCTGCCTAGATTCTTAAAAAAACACTACTTTTTTAATTCAACGCTTCAAAAGTGTTATGTTTTACCCTATAGTTTTTGACTGGATATATTTGAAATTCGGAAATATTTCACTTGTATAAATGGAAAGCATCATTTGTCTCTGTCGACAATAAAGATAACCCGAGAAGCAATGAAAGAATTGTGTCAAATGTTATATTTCTTAGAGGGGATGGTGTTAGGATGGAAGTCGTTGGCCATTGGCTGCTTGAGTGAAAGCAATAAGGGATGTATTAGATGGCAACGTTCTTGTCAGCCATATATATCAACACAGGAATCCCAATTATGTTCTGAATCGCCTGCGGAGTTGGCTAGTTAAAGGTGTACGTATGTCAGTGTGGTAGAGGTATGAATTTAGACATGATTAGACTTCTGGGTAACTCAATCAAAATAGAACAACATGAAACTAACATATTTGTGTAATTTCCTGATTATTTATATTTTTACATTGTAAATATAGCATTCTAAACTTCATCAAGAGTGTAGATCACTTAGAAGTGTGGAAGCCAGGGGGAGGGAGGGTGAAAGAGTTTGTCACCTTCAGCCCCCATTATCAGTAATGTCAGTCGTCAGTAGCACATGCTTATCATACACAGCAGTAGAAAAAACTCTAGTCATTATTTTTTTCCACCTTATTAGTCGTTCCGAGGTTGAACAAAAACCTGGATCGAGTTGGCATTGCAGTGCATTGTGGGGCTGTTTTAGGAGACATATTTCCAAGATGGCGTACCTTAATACAGCCCCACAATGCACTGCAATATCAACTCTAACGACGCTTCAGTGGCAGCGCGGAATACACTCACAAACAATATATATGATTACAAAAAAAAGGTAAATACCGGATCAAAAGTACCTCGAACTCCAAGCTTTTTGTTCCCGATAATGATTAACATTATTAACACTTCGAGACGCGCGGTCCGTTCTAATTAGTCACGGGATTCTTTCTCGTCATATTTGGTTATGAAATCGAGGTCAATGGTACACTTTTGGTAAGAAACTAAGGTTTCTTTCTATGGATGTAATGTGGCTGCCACGTGAGAAAGGTATATTATTTAAGCGAAGTATATTTTATATATATTTTACTTATTCTCGATTTTCCATGAAGGTTTGTAGTCTACTTCGGTGTTCGTGAGATAGAGGAATGCCACTAGAACGCGAAAGGAAAAAAATGAATAAATAACTGAATAGAAGGGAGGGAGGGAGGGAGAGAGGAAAGAAGGAAGGAATAGAGGAAGG